CAGAGGAGGCCGGCAGAGGTAGCGCGCACAGGGCGAAGAGGGTCAGGCAGGCCGGACGCTGGCGGGGGGCAAGGGACCCTTTCCCTCTTAGATCTCGGGAGGGTTCAGCAAGGAGAAATGAAAACAAAAACACACTGGAAGGCGAAGGAGCCCATCAGCGCGGGTCTGGGCGGCAGCTGGAGGCAGGAAGATAGTCCCTGTTAGCCTTTCTTCCTGAGGTCCCTTCCCTCCCTCCCTTCCTCCCCCTCTCCTCCTTCCTTCCCCTTCAGTGTGCTGGGGGGTGGGGGGTGGTGCTGCGGAAGGACTTGCTTCTTTTCTGGTACCAGTCTGGCTAATCAGTCTCTTTGGCTTCTTTTGCAGGTGGAAATAAAGGCTGGTGAAGGAGCCGGGCCGTGGACGCAAGGGGCGGCTGTCAAGGTACCTCGCGCGCGTGCGTGCGTGCGTGCGTGTGCGTGCGTGTGTGTGTGTGTGTGTGGTGGGGGTGAAGTGTTTGACTGGATTGGATAAAAATAAAGGGTCTCTCCTCTGGTGATCCCTTAATCTCCCACTGTGTGTGTAGCAGCAGCTGAGGGGGAGGGGCGGTGGGAGTGGGGGCGGTGGGAGTGTGGGCGGCCAATGAATTCTCAGGCCTGTGTGGGTTTTGTTTGGATTCTTTTTGCTTTCTCAGCTGGATGGTTTGGGTGCAGTCGGGGTTTGATTTGTTGAACTGTTTTTATTTTTTATTTTTAAAGACATGCAGCCCATTCCCCACCCCTGGAAATCTCTGGAGAATGTCTCTGGCACTGTTGGTTTGCATCCAATCTGCAGAAATCCCGGAGGGGGGGCAGCGAGGGGGAGGGGGAATTGCGCTTCTGAGTCTGAAGCTGATAGGGTGTCATTAGTCATGCTGCTGTCACCATGGAGATGGCTGGAGAGGAGGTGGTGGGGGTGAAGATATTTTGGGTAGGGTGGGGGCTGATGCAACATTATGACTGAGAAGCCTGCGGGTGTCTACTGTTACTCTCTGTGGTTTGGTATCTGGGGGACTGGGAAGGGACTGTTCCCAGGTGTGTGGGAAGTAGAGAAGGGGCATTGAGCTACTCAAGGTGGGTGACTGAAGGCTGGGGCTGGGGTATGTGGAGCACAGGAATGGAGAGTCTGGTAGGGCATCTGTCATTACTACGAAACCACAGATAAACCTTTCAGTTTGGCAAAGACCAGAGCAGTGTTTTCCTTGTGTGTTACCCCTGTTTTTGGGGCTGGGGGCCCACTGTGACTTTGGGATTACTCAGCAGTATCCTCTACTGGCCCAGGGCATAGAAAACAGTAGGAGACAAGTAGGTATACTGTCTCCGAAGAAACAGACTGGGAAGGCTAGGGGGACAGGTGGGCAGGGGCTGGTGGGGTGGGACTCTTCCTAACAGGCAGCTGGAAGAGTCTGGGTGCTTGGGTAGCAGGTGGGTGAGCTGCTAGTATACCCACATGCTCTTAGTCTCTCCTCCCTGGAAATTCTCCTCCCACTTCCTGGGAAAACTGTGGGAAGCTCCTTGGAGGTGCTGGAAGTGGCATCCTGCCACCTCATTGCCTGAATGGAGCCACTGGCAGGTAGGGCTCTAGGTCACATTATGGGATGAGGGCTTCTGAGCAAGGCACATTGTGAATCAGGAGGCCAGGATGTTTTCTTGGCTTCCTCCCATGAACTTGAGGCCAGAAAGTGTTTGTAGGAGGGCATGAATTTTGGTTCTGGAGCAGCTTCTGGGAGGAGATGAGCCAGGTTGCATTGTCGGCTCACAGGGGAGTTCACATGCTTTGATGAGGCTAGGAACAGTGGGCGATCACCTGGGATGAGACTGTGGGAGGCCCTGAGGCAGGCAGAGGGTAGTATACCAGTGATGCTGTGGGTGTGGAGAGAGCTGTGAGCTCTCCTCGGCTCACTCATACTGGCTCTCACTCCCTCTCTTCTCCAGAGAAAAATCTCCAGGTTTCACCTCTGCTTCCTATCTTGGTTCTCTACTACTTACTAGGAGTTTTAGTCACCTTCTGTGATGTTGCAGAGCCATGGACTCTGAGATCATGGAGTGGACCTGTCCCCACCTCCCACCTCCTGGGGAAAGCAGGACCAGAGGTTGGAGACAGATGGGCTCAGAGAGGAGGCGGGTCCCTCCTCCCTCTCTGTCTCCAGCCTTTTCAGCAGACCTTACTACTCTGAGAGGGAAGGCACTGCTGTTGGGTGTGTACTTCAGCAGCTTCCATCCCGCCTTCCTCAGTGATGGCTGTCCTTGGAAGATCTGTTTCTTGTCCATTCTTTTCAAGTCTTCTTTCTGCTCTTCTCTCCAGTTCTCCTCATTCATTTCTGCTGGTCTGGGAAAAGGCTGGTTTTCTGTAGACCTGCTGGAAGCTCCTAGGCTAGTACCCAGTCCTTGTGGAGTACCCTCCTGGGTATGTGGAAAAGGCTACTTGAAAATCCACAGAAACCCTCCAAGTAGGTCTTTCCCCTTCCCTCTTCTCAGTAAGTCTTAGCTGGCTGTGTTCTCATAGCTCTGAGGTTCTCTGTGCTTGTTTTTATTATTTTCTGTCTGAGAATCATAGCTTCCTCAGCCTGGTCACTGCCAGCAAGCACTCACGTTTAAGCTTTCCATTCCTGGTTCTGCTTTTCCTGTATATAGGCTGTCTCAGGTGTGCATCTGGGTGTTGTATCCTAACATAGCCTGAATAACGCAAGTTTGCCAAATCCCTTTCCATCATCAGATCATGGTATAAGCTGAAGTGTCAGCCCGGAATGTAGCTCAGTGGCACAGTTCCCTGGCTGGCAAGTGCGAGATCCTAAGTTCGATCCCTGGTACAAAAAAAAAGATTAAGTGTCTGGTATGTGAGGTTGTTCTGAGATCATGTGAAGATGCTGAACACAGGACAAAGAGGGTATCGCCATCCATGTTTCCATGGGATGAGTATGGGAGAAGTAAGCCCCATGGGTGAGTAGTGTCGAGAAGCCAAAGGGAATATGCATGTCCCCTAAATGCTAAGTTCTGTCAGGGATCAGGAATATCACGATGTACCGTATGGGTGTATACAGTGCCTAGCACAGGCACAGAGCTGATCATGGTTGAATAGGAGTTGTCATTTTACTGTCTAGTGTGTTCCATGTCTACTCATGATACTCCAAAGGACAGGCCACTGCACACACTGTTGCCCAGGAGCTAGTACCTAGTGCCAAGAGCACCAGGAATCCTTGCTTTTGGGTTCCCAAACTTGCCCCATGGGAACACTCCATTGGCTAAGGATTTCTGGAAATTATTTTGAGACTATGCCTAGGATCTCCTTCTTCTGTCTCTCCTCTGACCACTATAAAAATGCCCTGTTGTCAAGAATTTCTGATCATCTTTCTACACACTGTAGGTCACTCCTGCTACTTCTTTCTTGCTTGTGAAGGTCCAGAAGGAGCCCTTTCTGAGTTCTGTTTACAAACAGCAAACTTGGAGATATGAAGCAGGAAGGGAACCGATCAAGAGGATTTCAGAGTTGAGTTTGAGAATAGTGAGGGAGAGGGCTTCCCTGTGCATGTTAAGAGCAGGAATTAAATACCAGGGCTCCGTTTCATCTTCTTGGTGACCCCAGCCTTTCTGAATGTCAAGGGAGAGGAAGAGAGCTTGGCCAGAGTGAGATGAATGGAGAGCCTTCCAGCTCAGGATGGTACAAGAGCCCAGAGGCTGTGGTCAAGTTCCTCCATGATGGCTCTGCAGTCCTCATGCTGGGCTGGTGAGGAGGGCCTGGGTACTGGGCTCCTCTAACTGCAGATGGACATTTTTGCTAGAAATAAGCTTTGTAATCTTGCCAAGTCCCCTCCCATACCCTGGAGGCTGTAGCAAATGGTTTGGCTGGCTGGGGGTGGAGGTAGGGAGGGGCTTTGGTTTGGTTTAGCTTTTGGGTCTCCCAATCCTCTTAAGTCCTTTCTTTCCCACTCCTGACCTCTTGGGCTTTTGGCCTCATTTCCTCTCACACCCAGACATCTGGCAGTCAGCTGAGGACTCCCCTTGTTCCCAGAGTCTCTGCAGCTTTGCAGAAGGAAGTAGCTTTCTTATGGATTCGTTTAGAAAACCTTCAGGCAAACAGGGCACAGGGTAGCTTGAATGATTAAAACATAAAGATTATTGTTCTAACCAGGACTATTACCCCACCCCATCTGCTTTATCTCCCTTTTTTCATCCCTTTATTTTTCAACATTTAATGTGCATTATTGCTCAGTACAGTACTAGGTACAGGAAAATAGTAGAAATCATTATTTGAACCTCACAAAGAGTTGGAAGAGATGACTAAATTACCTAAAATCGTAACTAACTTTTTTGTTTTGTTTTGTTTTGTTTTTTTAAAGACAGGGTCTTGCTTTGCAGCTTAGGCTGGCCTTGAACTCACTATATAGTCCGGGGTGGTCTGAAATTCATGGTGATCTTCTGCTTGAGTGTCTCCAGTGCTGGCCATCAGGCCTGCTACAATTATAGCTCTTACACAGGGAAATCAGCATTCCTACTTTTTGCTTTCATGGAGTAAACACCTTTGATCTTGTGTTTTGGCCTGTGAACTTGTGTATCACAGACAAAATTCCTCATATCATATAGACCCAGCTCTTTACCTTTGTTTTTTTTTTGTTGTTGCTTTTTATTTTTGAGATAGGGTCTCACCATGTTCAGACTAACCTTGAGTTCACTGTGTTACTCAGGGTGGACTCATAGCAATCCTTTTGCCTCAGCCTCCTGAGTGCTTGGTTTATAAGCGTGTGCCACCATGCCCAGCCCTACCTTTGCTTTCTCTCTGGCTCAATGAAACTCAAGGGATTTTGAGGGAAGAATCAACATATCTGACATTGTTTTTCAAGAAGTTAGTATTCTAAGACCTAGGGATGATGAGTCCAGGGTAGTGCTAGCAGAAATGGATGAACTGGGAAAGGGAGCTTAGTTTTGTTTTATTTTGGCAGTTCTGGGGATCAAACCCAAGACCTTGCCATGTGCTAGGCAACTGCTCTACTACTGAGCTACATCCCCAGACATTTTTAAATTTTATTTTGAGATAGTGTCTTGCTAAGTTACCTACACTGTCCTTGAACTTTTGATCTTCCTGCCTTCAACCTTCCACATAAGTGGGATTATGGATAGGTATGTGGCATTTTGCTTGGCAGGAATTTAATTTTGAAAGGAGAGCTTAGTTTGGGCTTTAGTATGTTAGCTTTGACATCTGGAAAAAGCTGGGTGGAAATATTCTACCTAAGCTGTGTATCCTAAGCCTAAAATTGCCTTCAACTCATTTAAAGTGTGTGTCCAGGTTCCCTTCCTCCAGTGAAGCCTAGCAGCTGAGAGGAAGGGGGTAAGAAACACAGTTGTCTAGTCTCTTTCCTCCCTATTTCCTTCTGTATTCCTCTTCTTAATATTAGCCATGGAGAAGTTACT